AAAGTCCTGTGACAACGGCATGGGCAAATAGCAGTACATTTTTAAAAATTCTATCTTGCCCCCCCCCCCAAATATGAGTTTGCCCCTCAAATGCCCCCCAAATTCTGAGGCCTGGCGCCGCCACTGAGCATCACACGTCGATCAACGTGTGTGCGCTCGTTGCATCGCCCTATATATAAGCGCCCTGGTGATGAGCTAGACTGCTGCACTTCCTTAAATATTTTTCCACCTCCCCCACCATTTCCACCAATAAAATTTGACCTTGCTAACACAACTAGCATAACCGCAACAAGTTCCCGTAAGAACAATACACAAGCTTTTTACTTACAGTTGAGGGAACTTTGGCAATGTGTAAGTAATTCCCAACATCTTGACCTTCATTTCGAGGCAATATTTGGATATAAAAATCACCATCAGCTGAGAATAACGGGTTTAGATACTAAAACATATAATGAATTGTTCAATTTGTTTAATTTTCCGAACAAACTACGAAAAATGAGGGGTTGGGTCAACCTCGTTTCCAGTCTCTTACCTCTTGTGGAAGAAAGACCCTGGTAGGAGCTGGTCACGTGATCTGCTAAAATCTAGCAGGTTTTTAATTCATGATGATGATAAATATTTGATATTTATACTTTAATTTATAACTTTCATTTTTTTTTGCAAGTTTGATTAGGAATCCAAGATAATTCAAAATCTGCTAGATTTTAGCAGATCATGTGACCAGCTCTACCAGGGTTTTTAAGAGCCCGGGAATGAGGTTGAGGTTGGGAGAGAAAATGTTTTTTATACATACGCCTTGATTCACCCATCCATTATCAACGACCTCTTTATAGTTCTGTAAGAGAAACATCATACAATTATTTGGTTATGCTTCCGTCGAATTTAATTTGTGTAATTTAATGCTTCAGGGCCAGCCGTACAAAACTCTTTATAACACTTTCTTAAACAGTAGTTAACAAATGCTTGCGCACTAATCAGTAGCGAACATATTGGTCACAGCTGAACGTATGACGGATATATTGTGATTCTTGCCTCGCGTGAACAAGATAATCATACACGATAGAATCTTTCCTCGTGTGTCAGATTCCACAGCAGAAACCGTGCGCACATGAGAGCTTTTCCTTAGGCTAATGCCACGCGTGACGATTACCTCAGCCAAAACCTCTCGTGTGCGGCAGGCATTAGCGACAAACGTCAACGCAAAAAAGCAGCAAAACCGATCAATTCTAATCCGGCTAATCACATTGCCAATTTTGCTGGCCGACCCATATATGGATCGTTCTAGAGAAACGGAAGGCTGTGTCTCAAACAACCACTCTCCCTAGTTTTGTCATCATGCAAGGCCGTCAATCCTACAGAGGGGGGGGGGGGGGGGGGAGAGAAAGGACGCACCCCCATTACTTTTTGGACATTCGTAATCTAATCTATAATAAATTACGTCCGTTAACCGGCTTCCACCACCCCCACTTTTTAAAATGGATTGTCGCCCTTGTCACCATGCAGTATATCATCAATTGACAAAGGATGTTGTACCTCGATACAATCGCCACTGTCAGCCTTACATAACATTACAACGCTCGTTGTCTGTTCTCGGTTCATCCAAGTAACACTGACAGTTTGACCGTTGGCCCACACAAGATTAGTGAAGTAGTAATCACTAGAGAAAAAAGAATAAATCATGACATATTACTTCAAAACAACAGATGAAAACAACAGGTATGCAGTCAGTGCATTGCCTCCCACCTATGCATGCAAGAGCATGCAGTTACAAACTTACAAATAATGCACATAGTGACTACATATGGACCACGAGAGATAAAAAGCTTTTTCGGAATAAAAAGCTTTTTCGCAGTTTTCACTAGCAGGAATAACACTTGGCATGGAATAAAAATCCATTCTTATGGAATTACGAACTACGAAAGAATATGTATTATCACAATAAGTTTGTAAATATTTATATTTCCCGCCACTTAACTCTTTTTCTTACGTCACGCGAGTAAAGGACTTGATATGACAAAATAGGATTTGTTGTTTTAAAACATTGTAAAATCACACAACTGGTGTGATACAGATTTGTACATTTCACATGTACATTTCACTTGAGTTGTTATTGTGATGTAAGAAAAAGAGTTGAGTTGCTAAAATAGAAATATTTACAAATTTACTGTAATATTATTCTTCCGCGGTAGTTAGTAATTCCGTAAGAATGTGCTTATATTTTATGTCGAGTGTTATTCCCGGTAGAAAGAACGACGAAAACAAAACGCTTTTCGCCTTTAAAAACAACCTGTTCCGAAACGGCTTTATCACTCGTGGTCCATCTCTGTGGTGACTCGTGTGTACTTTTAGTCAAGATTCCGGTGCAGTGCTCTAACAAACCGAGCTAAACCGACACCGTCCTGTTGCTCAGTGAACATTATTGTCGATTTCAGGTAACTTTTCAACACGCTGTGCCCAGGTTCGTTGCGAACTTGCCAATTACGTTGTCAAGTTCGGAAGTTGGGCGTGAACTTCGCAACAAAGTTCGCATGTTCATTTCAAAGTTCCAACTTTGATTATAAACAAATGTTCATAGTTGGAGTTGAAATTACTTTATGAGGCCCTATGCACATATTACTGCAGTAAAATATTGGTCCAGTGGTCTCCCAAGACGAAAATGCCTTTTTAAATAAATGAAATTTTTACATTTGTTTACAATCAAAGTTCGAACTTTGAAATGAACTTGCGAGATTCGTTGCGAAGTTCCCGCCCAACTTCCGAATTTGGAAACGTAATTGGCAAGTTGACAACAAACTTGGGAACTGCGCTTTGAAAAGTAATCTGAAATCGACAATAACCACAAATTCATAAAGTAGAATGTTGCTATTTGTATAACAGACAGAATTTGCACCTAATAAGTTGAAGAACATTGTAGATGGAATTATCGAGTGAAAATGTATATACAATTATTAGATCTAACCAGGAACAGCTGCGAAAAATGTAACTTTAGGTCTCTGGCAGGAATCGAACCTGCGACCCTGCGATTCTGGTGCAGCGGTCTACCCAAATGAGCTACACAGGCCAGATGTCGAGCTCTAACCACAAGTTATATATTGAGACAATTCAAAATTGCTGGCATATCAGATAAAGACCTGGTTCTCATTTACATTTCTCTTATTCGATCGGTGCTTGAGTATGCTGCCCCCGTTTGGGCCAACTTACCGCAGTACCTATTCGATGATATTGAATCCGTTCAACGAAGGGCATTAAAAATAATATTTCCAGATTTCGACTATTTTCAAGCCTTAGAGTCCTCTAAACTGCTTCAGTTATCTAATCGCAGAGATCGTATTTGTGAATCCTTCATGACTCAACAACGAAAGTCAAGCTCTGTGTTGTCTAAGATCATTAACACTAATTACGAACCTACCATCACTCATTCGTATTCTTTACAATCGCAGTCAAGGAGATTAAACAATGTCCAAACAATCGTATAAGAACTAACCGTTTTAGCCAATTTGTAACAATATATACAGTATATATATATACTAGTATATATATATATATTAGTATATTAGTATATATATATATATATATATATATATATATATATATATATATATATATATATATATATATATATATATATATATATATATATATATATATATATATATATATATATATATATATATATATATATATATATATATACTATTGTACTATTACGCTCCATCACTTCGGTGTTGTTGAGCACTCTGCGGAGTTGTTAATGGTGTCTATTAGCGATAATGCAAAGCTCACTTCCCTTGTGGTCGTTTGAGCACTCTGGCTCCATTACGCTCTGCGCATGTCTGGATGCGTTGAGTCACCGTGTTGTACCA